TTTATAATCTGAATATGCACAGGGAAAAAGTATCGGGTTATTTCCACACTTCTTGATAAGGCTCTGCTATTTTTCTAGAGGTGTGACTTTCCCACCACAACTTTTTAGTATCTTCATGGCAAGTCCAGAATTCTGTCCGAAGCTTCTCAGCCAAACCACCTGCTCTCTGGAAGAGGTTTTTTTCCTCCAAGTTTTTTCTCCCGAGTTAGGATCTATTGCAACTTTGGCCCATAAATGGGAAAAATAAAAATAAAAATCTTAACTGTAGCTATATTAAAGCTACAGCTGTGACCATACCTCTTGTTACAAAGCTAACATTCCTGCTCCTGATTGCATATTGCTTTAAAGGTGCTCCGATGGTTATGGCATTCTATTGTCATTCTCTACACCATGTAAATGTATGTACTGCTTTTTTTTGTCTCACACTGGACAAGACAACACACATTTTAGAGAACAGGTACTGCAGTCCTCTTACATTGCTCTTAAAGAGCAGAAACAGATAGTGGAAAGAAGCACTTGTAACCCTGTGGAAGAGTGTCCTTTGTGTTTTCATAGATGTAACTCTAGGTTTGTTGTATGTGTATGTGTTGTATGTGTAGTTACAGCTAGAAAGTGCATCATTATGCACCAGTTCTGGGAAAGTGTAAATCACAATATGGATATGTGGTGTAAAACTCCAACACATTATTTCTTTTTCCAGTCACAACGGAATGCAAAGACAAACCTAAAATATTAAATTATACTGATTAAAGTCTATTTATTTTGTAAGAAACAGCATATGAAGTGGTTTATGTTAAGATTAGACAGTAGTGCTGAGGCCTTTCCACATTCCATGCTCATTCTCTCAGCCCTTCTATGCAGCTGAGCTTTTGTAAGTTACGTTTGGCACGTATTAGCACTGGAAATGTTGACTCTTGTTACAACCAATGTATTCTTGAACAGTACAAGTTCCTTCAGAATTCCTTCTGAGAGCAACAACTGGCTGTTATCACACTCTTACCACGTACTTTAAAAACCATACACTTTTACAAGAATGACGCCCGTTTCCATACATGTTGCCCTTGTTCCATACAATTATTGCTGCCATCTACAGTTCAGAAGCACGACAACATTTTAGGAAGCTATTTTCTTGTCTGCCTTTTAAGAACCCTTCCACTACAAAAAATATGAAGGTGATGATTGATACTATTTCTGCTACAAATCACTTCTTTTGTGACCTAACGATCAGCTCCCAGTAAGGCATGAGAAAGTAGGAAAGAAGACAGCCTGACAAACAGTTTTAAGAAAGCACGGTGTTTTGCTCAGCCGGCAATCCCTAGCCAGCTTTGCATCTCATTATGATAACGCAGGTTTCACATGCGTAATTCCATGCGTTAAAGAAATCCAGACACACATTTCCACATCTTTCTACTTATGTCAGTTTTCTGAAAACTACTGTATGGGTGATTTCGATGCTGCAGTTTTGTTTTCTATTAGGAAAAACCCTGAAGCACTGAGATAACATGACGAATCTGTCTCAGAACTCAGACAGAATTAATTTCAAAAGCACTGAGACTGCAACATCAAGCACTCAAGGATTAGTTAAATGTTGGAATTAAAATCCTCTATGCAGATTTCATTTAATTTCTTTGTGGTTATAAAAATAATATTAAAAAAAAGTCTTATTCAGCAACACCAAAGAAGCCTGTGGGAGAACCAACAATAAAACCCAATTTTCCTGAGTGTTATTTCAATGCTTTTAATATTAAATAACTTCCAGCATGTTTTACTTTGTTCTTTGTTAATTTTTAAGTTCAATAAAACTATATAATTAAATCCTCTAATAAAACGCAGTGTATTTAGGGAACAGGTATGGGGCTTATCCTTAGAAAAGCAGCAAATGCAAGACTGCAGCCTTTGCAGACGGAGCAGCAACGCATCGCAGAACCATAGAACAGCCTAGGTTGGAAGGGAGCTTAAAGCCCACCCATTTCCAGCCCTTGCCATGGGCTGGTTGCCCCCCACCTCAGGCTGCCCAGGGCCTTGGGCACCTCCAGGGATGGGGCACCCACAGCTCTATGGGCAGCAGTGCCAGGGCCTCACTGCCCCCTGAGTAAAGAATTTCTTCTTAACATCTAACCTACCTCTTCCCTCTTTTAGATTAAAGCCATTACCCCTTGTCCTATCACTATGAGACTGTTTAAGAAAGCTGGTCCCCCTCCTGCTTATAAGCTCCCTTCAAGTACCGGAAGGCCACAGTTAAGTCTCCCTGGAGCATTCTCAAACATTACAGCATGTGTTGTTGGCATGGAACAGTTCTGATTTTAAAAGTTTTTGATTTTAAAATACCTGGTTCTTCAATATTTGGTTCAAATCTGAACCAAATCTGAACTTGCTCAGATTGTGACAAAAAAAAAAAAGGCAATGATTTGCCTGGGATTAGATTGAGTATTGTGGTTGTTGTCTTTTCCTTGTCTTTGCATTTACAGTAATGTTTGAAGCAGGAGATCTCACTGAATAAAAGGCAGGTCCCCCTTGTTATTTATTTTAGTACCATATAATTAAAAAAAATAAGGAAAAACAAAGAAAAATCTGTTCTCATTCCTCAAATGCTGGGTACGTCTGTTTAAAAAAAAAGAGGGGGAGAAGCAAAAGGGAAGAATTATTTTAGTCTAGTTTCCTAAGGCAATGAAACATGCTGTAATGTTGTGGCTGTCCATCAATCCATTCTTAGTAATCTTGACTTATTTAAGCAATTCAATTTAAACTAACAAAGGAATAGAGATCATAGAGATGTTGAAGTCCTAGAAAATGAATAGGCAGGTAGCAGAGATGCATCCCCTTGTAGGCTCTTTTGAAGGAAGGTACAGGAGTGTCCAGCTTCATCCTCGCTGTCTGTCTAGCCTAAGAGCTGGGAGGCAATGGCCGGCTGCTCAGTAAGCACATGTGTGTGGCAGCCACAGACCGTGCTGCTTCTTGTCCAGGCTGTAAATCAAAGGAGAGATGGATTTGGGACAGTGAGAATGGCTGGGGGATGTGGAACAGAACAAACTTGTGTGTGAATGTGCCAAGAACAAAGGACTTGAAAACATCAGGCTTCAGCAATGTCCCCATTACTAGAACTGTTTGTTAACACACAAAAGTATACTACTCTCTTAGTTAAGAAAAGGGAAATATTTTGAACAGATCTTCTCCCCAAATTAACTGAACTGGCAGAAACCAAGTCTGTAACACTTTAGTCAAAATCTGAAGCAATATGAAACTGTGATCATTTAAAATAGAAGAACCACAAGAACAAAATGTCAGTCTTTACCAGCCCTCACTGTGTAACAGAAGAAGAATACAGAACTGTTCAAAATTCCTGAAGAAAATATTAACTTTATACAGGCAGACAGGGACTGGTGTTAAGCAGAGCTTGGAAAACTCCGATGAGTTGTTATGAGATTACTTTTCCTATTGGTTTTGCCAAACAATTTTGGAAAGAAAAAAAAAATCAGTCTGCTTTTGAAAGCTAAATAACACAATAACCAAAGAAAAACAGAATTGTTACTTCAGTCACGTTGACATCAGACCATGTGAAGGCCTGTGATTCCAACCACAAGTAAAACCTTCCACTGGTCTTCATATGCTTAACATGAAGTATATCCCTAGATCTGAACGACTGAATGCATGTTAGTCAAGAGATGAGAAGGTAAAAGACTTAAGAAAAACATGTTTAATATTTTGTTAAAAGTGGCAATCTTAAAATTTTGGATATGTAAATAATTTTAGTAGGACATTACACAAAACAAAAGAACTGGAGAGATGTGCATAGATGGTAATAGTTTAGCAGTTCACTAAAATACCTCAGTTATTTTGATCCAAATACAGGCGAGGAAACATTTCAGTTGATGGAATCCGAAAAGAGTTTCAACCTAAAAGGTATGTCATATAGAATGCATACCAGACCAAGACAATTTTTTATCTAAGAAAAGCATTAAAGATACATTGGGTACAACTGTCACACTTTATTACACAGTGTATAAAAGCCATTAAGCTGCTTTAAGGAAGCAGATGAGTAAAGCAGTTGAAGTATACCTGAAAGCAGTCACTGTGCAATGGAAGGAACATGTAACTCTCTAGAAAGGATTTTGGATTGTATTGTTCTGTAGACTTCGGCGTTCAAGAGAAAGAAAAAGTAACGCATTAACAATAACTGCAAAATCAGAGCTGAGGAGTAAAGCAAAAAAAAAAACAACCAGTGTAAGCACCAAAGAGATGAGGTGGCCTGGGTGGAACCAAAGAACTTTCTAGGCTGGGCATTGGCTGAAATCCAGCTTTAAACTGAGTAAATAGCTTCACTCTCACTGTTTGATTTCTCCTGTGTGCTAACCAGCAGCTAATGTTACACCATCTTGCATTACTGTTGACATTACAATTAATTTTTACTTCTAATTAAGGCCATATTTTGGCCCTCTATTTATGTTGCTGGTATAACATCTCTGCTCAGAAGGGCAAGGTCCTCTAAGTCATTGCACCAGCGCAGATCCTGATGCAGATACTGCAGAAACTGCAGTGAAGCGAGCCCTAATTTTAACTCCTCATCTAGTCTTGAACATAGTTACTTAATAAGATACTTAATGTATCTTCTTGTTTGTCAGAGAAGATAACAAAATGGACTGAAAATTCCGCGAGAGACACAGCTCTCAACAAAATCAAGCCTGTAGGCCCCATTTCAATCAGATGTTTGTTTAGGTCGAACTGCAGGATAAAGGATGCAAAAAAATCAGACTCAAAGCTTAAGGACCTTCAGTTAGATGCATTCATAGAGCTAAGCATCATAATGTCTAATTCACAGGGTGTGCTACCCAGCATAATTTAGGATGCTTAACTGGAATAAGAGCAGGTTATGCATACAGAAATTAGATTCTCAAGCCAGTCAGATGCTGACCTAGATAGATGTTTGGAGTATGCCCAAGAGACAACAGAAATGCAAAAAAAAAACAACAAAAGAACAAAAAACCAACTGGGCCTGGGATGAATTTTGCTACAGAAACAGCATCCTTTTTATTCCTCACATAAATAAATGGCTGTGCTTTACAGAAATGAGATTCTCCTTGCAGAGATGCTTCCATCTCTGAACAGCTTTAACATGTACATTCACTTGGTATTTATATCCCCAGGAGTGGATCAGCTCCAAGAGGAAAGTTTCAGAAGGCAGCTTGGAAGACACTCGATGCAGATTCTTTTCCTGAGACACAAAGGCCTGCATTTGGTGCCTCGCTCCCAATCAGGTTGTTCGGGATATAAAAATAGCCCCCTTGCTAGATGTGCTCATCTCGCTGTAAGGAGACAGACACCAGAGACTTCACGCATAGTGCATAAATGGAGAAAGGCCTGCCATCTGAATGCCACATCTTCCCACTGACAAGCAGCAATGACCGCGCACAGCCTGGGAACCTCAGTGGGTTTCAGGCTTTGGATCTAACAAAAGCAACAGCACTGCCTATCATCTGCTGTTACAGCTCAAACCCTGAGGTAACCACATCGCTATGTAGGCCTTCTGAGCTTCTCAGAACTGATCCCTCAGCTCTTTTAATCCCACAGAGGTCTACGTACTGAGAGGCACAGCCTCGCTCAGCCTTCAGACCAATATCTGCTTTGTGAGGAGCTGCTCTGCTTTCTCCATTAGGCGAAACGCTTCACACAGCACCACCGTGCTGTGAATCACGCAGCCGGCCCAGCAGCCCCAGCCCGCCTGAGGGGAACCGCAGCCACCTGCACAGCCGGCTGAGCGGGAGCCGCCCGGCGCACACAGAGTTCCGAGACAAGACGGGCGGCTCCCAGCCCGCACCCCACTCCTGGGCTCTTCTGAAGGCGGTGGGGGGTCGGGGAAAGGTAAGCGCAGCGCCTTCTAAGCCCTTCTAGAGCCCGCGCCGGAGCAGCGCGCAGCGCGGCCCCTTCTAGGACATTCCATGAGGAGCGGAGCTGCGATGACGTCACCACCGCTTGCACAACCGCCCCGAGGCCGACCCCACCCCCCTCAGCGGCCACCTCCGCACGCGCACGCGCCCGATTAGCCCCTCCCCGGCCGTAGGGCCGAACCGCCGCTTGAGCGAATAGGGAGCGCGCGCACCGCCTCACCCCTCGCTCCGCACGCGCGGAGCCCGCCCTCACCCCGATGGCTGAAGTAACGGCGAACGCCCGCGCTAACCCCGCGCTCTGACGGCGTCCTTTCGCGGCCCCTTGCTATTGGCTGAGCGAGGCTCTGCCCCGCCCCGTAGCGGCGCTCTGCCCCGCCCCCCCGCCCCCTCCCCCGTGCCTGTCAGTGAAGGTTCCCGATGGTTCTGGAAGGAGGCGGCGCCGGCTGTATATAAGGCGGGCGGGCGGCCGGGGGCGCGCACTAGTGGAGGCGCAGAGCTGAGGGTAGAGAGCGTTTGCTGATTCTGTGAGGTGACCGACAGCCCATCCCTGCTGCTGAGGTGAGCGGCGGCGGAGCTGCAGCTGGGCTGCAGGGGGGGCAGCAATGACAGGGCGCTTTCGTGCGGCGTTCTGGCGGCGTCTGTGTGGCGGCGGTACTGCGGGCTGGGGGGGGGGGGGGGGGGGGCGCCGCGTGGTGCGAGACGCTTTTTCGACTTGTCGTTAAAACGTGTGGTAGAGGGAGTCGGGAATGTACAATGGAGGTGGAGCGGGGAGGTGGGGTGTGCTGCGACCCCTGTGATACTTTATTGCTACCGACGGGGCTGTGAGGCGAGTTAGGGCATGGCGGGCAGCGCCTGGCGGGCATTTCGGCCACTGCTGGAGGAAGCGTTTCCCTAAGGGCTCTCCGTGCAGATAACGCTTTCTCTCACCGGGGCGAGAGCTGAGGGCGCCGGGAAGGCGGTCCAACCCAGCCGTATAGGCAGGGCGCTGCGCGGGGTGCTGGAGCCGCGGATGGCGGCATTGAAGGGCGGGCGGGCGGGCGGGGTGCGCGCTGCGCCCCGCTGCCGGCGGTGGGTGGAGGCGGGGGGGCGGCGGGAAGGCTCTGGCAGTTTCTAGAACCTCCGCTACTTCCGGCGGGAGCCTGCAGGGGGCGCTCAGGGCCGGCTGTGCCGCCAGGCGCCGCGTCCCGTATGGAGGCGGCTGCGCCCGTAGCGTTCATCGGCGCTCGCTTCGCTGCTGGTGTAGGGCGGGATTGCCGTGCTGTGGTTGTTTTCTGTTCGTTGTACGCCACTTAAAACGGGGCTGAGGTTGGGGTTTTTTTTTGGTTGGAGTTGTGTTTGACCTTCCTGCGAGAAAGCATCTCTGTTCAACCGGGTAATGTGTTCATTTGGGCTGAATGTGTTCAGTATGTGCTGAGTGCTGCGAGTCCTGCGAGCCAGTGGTCGTAGTTCATTGAGCAGAACGGCAGCTCGGGTGAAGGAGAGCAAGTACAAGTCGTAATGTGAGATGCCTGTAGAATAGCGCAGTTCGCATCCCGAATATCCGGCCAGGTTTTCAGTTCCATTTTTACTCCCTGTAATCTACTGTAAAATGGTAAAACTGCAAGCTGAAGCGTACGTTAAAAGCATGTGGTTAAAGCCCCATTTAGTTTTGCATTTTTTCAGAACTCTCGGGTTCTTTCTCTGAGTTCCTTACTGCTACAGTAATTAAAACTCCATAGCTAATGATTTGAATTCAAAGTACCTTTAAGTGTGTATGTGCAGCAAGCTAGAGTTGTTAAGCATTGAATTTCACCTTTATTTCTTCACAGATGCCGGAAGCTGTGCAAACACAGGACCAACCAATGGAGGAGGAAGTGGAGACTTTTGCCTTCCAGGCTGAGATTGCTCAGTTGATGTCTCTGATCATCAACACTTTTTACTCTAATAAGGAAATCTTCTTGAGGGAACTGATATCCAATTCATCAGATGTAAGTATTTGGGCTCTTGGACTGGTTTATGTTTATAGAACTGCCAAGATTTTTAGATAGGGGATGCTAAAGCTTGCCTTTTCTTTGATAGGCTCTGGACAAGATCAGATATGAGAGCTTGACTGACCCAAGCAAGCTAGATTCTGGAAAAGACCTGAAAATTAACTTGATTCCAAACAAGCATGATCGTACTCTGACCATTGTGGATACTGGCATAGGGATGACCAAAGCTGACCTTGTCAACAATCTTGGTACTATTGCCAAGTCTGGTACCAAGGCTTTCATGGAAGCACTGCAGGCAGGGGCTGATATATCCATGATTGGTCAGTTTGGTGTTGGCTTCTACTCTGCCTACCTCGTTGCGGAGAAAGTGACGGTGATCACCAAGCACAATGATGATGAGCAGTATGCTTGGGAATCATCAGCTGGAGGATCTTTCACTGTCAGACTCGATAATGGTGAGTGTTTTTGCTCAGGTCAGTTCTTGAAAGGTTATTAGCAAATGATTCAGATGCCTGCTTACTCTGTGGAAGAAAACAGTTATATCAAGTCAGATTTATTTTGAGTAATTGTTAACATGTGCTAGGGGAATGTCTGGAGTAAACAGTGTGTGGTAATGAGGGCTATTCTAAAATTACACATGGAAATGCTTGTGTAGGTTTGGAAGATGTCAGATGAAGAGAGTAATTATTGAAACATCAGGAATATGTGCAAAATGCTGAGTGCAGTAAGATTGTGTCATCTGTAAGCTTGCTTTAGTATAGTGTCTTATTTTGCTGGGGATAAAGAAATCCTTGGTAGAGGAGTATGGTGTTTAAATCAAATATTTGTGGGGTTTATCACAGCTTGGTTTGCTTCTGTGTATTACCTGTACATTTCATTCCAGGTGAGCCTTTGGGCCGTGGAACTAAAGTTATCCTGCACCTCAAAGAAGACCAAACTGAATATCTGGAAGAACGGCGGATCAAGGAAATCGTGAAGAAGCATTCTCAGTTCATTGGCTACCCTATTAGGCTCTTTGTATGTACTTTGAAATACTGTATATTAAGGAGCAGGAGTTAGAAAACATGTTTTTTAAATATAAATGGGCAGTCTGTATACCACATTGCTCTGCTGCTGCAGATTCTGCATGGGTGTAGCTCTTCAACTGATGGGATGCTGTTAATTAATGGACTAATTTTACAAGATGAAGCTAAAACAAAAAAACGGAGCCAAGTCAGTAGCATCACAGTTTCCAAACAGTTCAAAACTTAACTGTGCTTACGTAGATTCTTAGTGGAAAGTAGTTACAATGCATTACAACAGCAGAACTGCCATAGAACCACATGTACTGAAACACTGCCAAGTAATGAAATGCTGTGTTTGAGTCTAGGACAAAAACTGGGCATTGTGCTTGTTTGTAGATTTAATTGCAGTTTGCTTACCTACTTAGGCTGCAGTTCATTACTTGCTTTTAATGTGACAGGTGGCACGTGAAGTCCAAGTGATGTTCTCTTTCATAGGTGGAGAAGGAGCGCGATAAGGAGGTGAGTGATGATGAAGCTGAAGAAAAGGAGGAGGAAAAAGAGGAGAAGGAGGAGAAGACAGAAGATAAACCAGAGATTGAAGATGTTGGCTCTGACGAGGAAGAGGAAAAGAAGGATGGAGATAAGAAGAAGAAAAAGAAGATCAAGGAGAAGTACATTGATGAGGAAGAGCTCAACAAGACCAAGCCTATTTGGACCAGGAATCCAGATGACATCACCAATGAGGAGTATGGCGAGTTCTACAAGAGCCTAACTAATGACTGGGAGGACCATTTGGCTGTCAAAGTACGTTCTTGTTTGTCTTTTTATAAACACTACTTTTTTTTGCCACTAAAGCCAAGCATCTAAATTGTTTTGAGTATTGTAGCAGTTGCTTACTATTAGGAGTGATACTGTTCAGAGTGCTTACATTGTGAGATGCTTGTGCTACAGCTGCTCAGGCAACTTGTAAAGCTTGTGTTCAGCATCTTCAACAAATACATTTGGTTCTGTTTATTGCAAATATAAATGCAAATGTTTTCTTAGTTGGAAAATCCATTTACAAAACTTGAAAGTGGATCTCAAATAGAAACCTAGCTGTTGTTTTGGTTTGTACTTCAGTTTTAAAAATGGGAGCATGGGTTCAGTTAACCTTTCCAGGCCTTCATGGTTTAAGGTGGTGCTGCACAGTTCACAGTTGTTTCACAGCCTGGCAACAGCTGAGTAGAATCCAGATGATGTTTTGGAGAACATGCTCATTTTTCTGACCAATGTCTTGCTTACTGCATTTAATGTTGCTTTTTTTTTTTGTGGAAGGAGGTCAGCATTACTTAGAGACAAATTGCAATTCTATAAAATGGTCTTTTTTTTTTTTTACAGCACTTCTCTGTGGAAGGTCAGCTGGAATTCAGAGCTCTCCTGTTTGTCCCACGACGTGCACCTTTCGATCTGTTTGAAAACAGGAAGAAGAAAAACAACATCAAGCTGTATGTGCGCAGAGTTTTCATCATGGACAACTGTGAGGAGCTGATCCCCGAGTACCTGAGTGAGTGCTGCAGAAGAATATTTCTGAAAATACCTATAGAAACTAGCAGTTTATGTTCAAAAGAGGAAAATGGGATGGAGAAAGGCAGAGTCTTCAGAGTAAAAGTATCTGAGCAGTTGAAGAAAGCACTGCTTGATTTGTATGAAAATTCAGTAGAAGTCTATTTCAAATACAGAGCAGCAAAGCCACTTCGTAGTGATTGTAAATCTTAGTTCTTCAAAACCTACAAAGCTAATTGTGATGTTTTCCTTCCAGACTTCATGAGAGGTGTTGTAGACTCTGAGGATCTACCTCTGAACATTTCTCGTGAAATGCTGCAACAAAGCAAGATCCTTAAAGTGATACGGAAGAACTTGGTGAAGAAGTGTTTGGAACTTTTCACTGAGTTGGCTGAAGACAAGGAGAACTACAAAAAGTTCTATGAGCAGTTCTCCAAGAATATCAAGGTTTGTAGTATTCCTTTATCTTGGTTGTAAACGGTACAGATTTCTGTTAGTACCACATTCTGAGCACCCCACAGCTTAGTATTTATT